TTCGAACTTCGCGTGAGCAAAGCCACGTCACCAGCGGCCTGGTGGCCGCTACTCCTCCCCGCCAGTCTTCGACGTCCTCGTCAGGTCCCCAGCAGCCATCCACTTCATCTTCTTCTCGTACGGCCCCGCTTCTTGACCACTCTGGACCATTCAGGGGGGTCGGGTGCTCCTGTTGCACAGGTGGCCTTATCTTTGGCCCAGGAGTCCCATTCTTCAGGGCGGTCCAAGTGATCCATCGCGGGGCCGCAGATCTTCAACTCTGCTTCGGCAGGCGGGGAACCATGACTTGGATGTCGAAACGCAGAGGCCTGAGTTCATCTCACCGTTGCCACCAGAAGCGGTTTGGTAACGCGGCGCGCGGAGAGATTTACAAGCATGACGTAGTCCAGACTGACTTTTAATGGTAGAGGGAGCAGCTTATAAAGCATTTACAAAGGTTTCGAACTTCGCGTGAGCAAAGCCACGTCACCAGCGGCCTGGTGGCCGCTACTCTTGTTTTTTAAAATTTCAATCAAATAGAAAAACTAAATTATTATTAAACTTACTTGCTCTCCTTGATCACCTTTATCTCCTTTTTCTCCATCTTTAGGAGGTTTAGATGCGGCTCCAGGAAAACCCTACATGAAATGTTTCATCAGTTAATTTGATAAAAACAAAAAAGGTAAAAATTCAAGCATTCTATTAGCTGCTAATCAAACTATTAAATGTGTTGTTTAAGAGTTAACGTATTGAATATTTATCAAAACTGCAAATATAAATTGTGCAAAAAACTTTTGAAAAACTGATTTTTCTATTAAAAATGCCTCAAATATTGCATCCAACTTACCCGATCGCCTTTTTCACCAGGAGTTCCAGTTTTTCCAACTTGGCCTCTCTCTCCTTTAGCCCCATCCTGGCCCCTAGGCCCTACTGGGCCCTCTAAACCAGAATTTCCCTGTTATAAGTCACACAGCAGCAAAAGTTTATAAAAAATTTTGTCATTATTAAATTTTTTAATATTTTAAGCTCAAAAACAAACTTACTTTTTTTCCGACACTTCCTTTATAACCTCTAGGCCCTGGACTTCCAACAGGGCCTACATCTCCAACTCTACCTTCCTAGAGAGTCAAAATATTTCGTTTCAACTTATGGGGCAAAAGTTTTAAATTGTTCGAACGGTATTTACCTCTCCTTTCTCTCCGTAACCTCCTTGCTCGCCTCTAGGGCCTACTGGGCCACTTTTACCAGGAGCACCTCTAGGTCCTTTTAAAATGTGCTAAAATAAAATTAAAAGTTAATTTTAACAGTTTTAAATGTTTTTAAAAAGTTAATTTTTCAAAAATTAACTTCATTTCTGCTACTTTTATTAAACACCATTTTCTAACTTACCGCATGATGCTCTAGTATTGCTCGCAACGAATCCGTTTGGTCTGGGCCCTTGGTGTCCGTCGAGACTGGCAGTGGCACTAGAAAAACGTGCCCTGGTGGCCCGACTACGCCGCCAATACCATCTAGGCCTCTGGCGCCCTTCTCGCCTTTAGCGCCTTTACTTCCAACTAGTCCAGGTAGACACTGCAAGAAAACACCAAGAAAAGAAGTCAAATGTCATCAAAATCAACCCATCAGTCAATTACGTGATCAGCAATTGCCGCAATGGAAATGTCGCTCTTTGTGTTGCTTGAAGTGGTAGTCACGTTCACCACCGATGGAGGATGAAAATTGGCAATCTACATTGGCAAGCAAAAGTTAAATTAACTAACCTATATTAACTAAAAAGCAAAACTGACCAAAACTGGACTCACGACAGCAACAGGTCTCAAAACCTCTGTCGCTGGATCAACCACCACCGACTTTCGATTAGTCCGTAAGTTGACCAAAGCTGAGCCATTGCTATCATCGCTGTTTTCAATTGGCTTTTCTTCAGTCTGAAAACCGTTTGTGTTACTGTCCAATGAGGTAGACGGCGGTAACGGCTGTTCAACGACTGCTGGTGCCACCACTGACACTGGAGGACTAGATATATCATTGGTGATAAATTGAACTTTTTCTTCAATGGCAGGTGGCAAAGGCGATGACGGTAGTTGCTGATGTGATGTGACCACTACGCTAGGCGTCGACTCGGCAGACAAAATTGGCGTAACATTACGTTCATCTTCATCAGAAAAGTCGTCCTCACTTAAATCAGGCAGCGCAACATCATCTGAACCGGCGTTGATGACAGGCGCCTCAGTACTGCTTTTACCTTCACTTTCTTCGTCGTAACTGTCCTCGTCCTTATCACTTTCAGTACTGGGATGCACTGTTGAGGTAAAGACTATTGGGGCAGTTGTGGGTCTGCTGGTGGTGGTGGTGGTTGTTGTTGTAGAGGTTGTTGTTGTTTTGGCCGTTTCAGAAACGCTACTGCCAATATCATTTTCAGTCTCCTCTAGATTAATGTTTTCCCCATCTTCCTCTGGCGGATCCTCTATCTCATCTTCATCTTCCTCCTTAAACTCTTCTGGCGGCTCTTCCTCTTCGTCAGGCGCCGCAGCCGCGGCAACCCGTTTAGCTACCGTCGACGTTCGGTAAATGTTCCGTGGGTGGGAAGACATGTTCTCCTCTGCGTTTCCTCCCTCTTGTTCACTCTGCTGCTGCTCGGCTGACTCACTGTCAACTCTTGCCTCTGCAACAGAAGCTGGCCTCTCAGCTGCCAATTTCTTCTCCTCAACTACCGTCTGCTGACTGACAGTCACTGGCAGAGGGGAATTGCAGTCCGGTAGCAGATCGTAACAGTAGTCAAAGGCGGCGTCAGGCGATGAGGCAATGGCCACCTGCTGGACGGCCGCCTCGAGGCCATTGCCGCCTGTGGTGGCGCCCAGTACCACCTTCCCGGCTGGGTCAAAGGTGGTAGCCATGGTGAAAGGCTCCCTGGCGCCCAGATCATTTCCCAGGTGCTTAGACCGAGGATTGGTGTCACAGTCCAGGTAGAAGGAGACGTATTTGGCCTAAAAAAGGTGTAACTTTTTATGATAAACAAAACAAACTCCTTCATTGAACTACCTCAAAACTAAATGCCAGCCGATGCCACTGTCTATCGTTGAGTAAAACGTCAAACTTGGCCACCACAGTTTGTCTTTTCTTGCTGCCGCTCAAACCTTCATCCTCCCCTCTTTGATGTCGCCTAGTGCCTTTGCCCGTTTCCTCTACGACGGTGGCAGTCAGCAGGACGGCATCGGCTGTGATGCGCAACCCAAGCTCCTCATTGCCGGCGCCATCAAATACGCTTATCAGATTGAAAGAGGATGCAGAACTAGCAGGTTGGCCACTGCTCAGATTTGACAAACTCTTAAAGGCGACGAGCAGTGAAAACTCGGCTGAAATGGCATCTGAAATGAAGAAGGCGCGTTGTAAGACAAAAATTGACTTCAACCACCAGCACTACTTACGGGGAAGTGCAAGCGAATTGGGTGCAGTGATCGAAGTGCTGCGGTCAATTAGATAGGCCACATCGGCATTACTGCTACTTGATGAAGTCTCTCTGTTCACTGCTGGCGGTCTCCTTTCGCAGAGACCAGTCGTATGCTTATCAACACCAACAACACTGCTGACGTTGAGTGATTTCAAAAAGTCAAAAACTGCTGTCGTCGAGGACAGCACAAAGTTTATTTTGAAACAATTGTTCGTACAAAAATCGTTTTATAAACGACACATACCTGAAGCATCATCGCTTGTACTGCCACAGTGAAACAATGCCAAAGCAAAGAATATTGAGGTGAAGAAGGCTGAGCTGCTGATGCTTACTGTGGAACACATTGTCATAGCTTATTGTGCAACTCTCACTTTGTTCAGTAGGCACTGATTTAACAAAATGACTAAAAACGAAACAATTAAAAAGACTCGAGGTAGTGAAAAAGTCAAGTGATGATGATGGTATTAGTGCTGAGGGTGATGAAAGTGGTGATGAGATCCCATCATCACCATCCCTCAGTGATGATGGCAATACTAATTAATCCCAATCGAATAGAAAATCCAACAAGTGCAGCACTAAATCCTAATCAAAGAAAATAAAATCAACCAGTCAATCACACACTCGCACCAAAAAGATTCGGCGGCACCCATTTTTCTCATTCTTTATATACCGCCGTTAAGAAAACGGGTTGGTTCCCACTTCTCCTCTACTCTTTTTTGAAGACTCCAGACGGCGATTGATGACCATTGCCTCAGCAACTTAAGCCAAAGCAACACCAACCAAAAGCCAGCCACCATTGTGCATTGAAGCGGAAGAAACTGTAACTCAAAGTGCACCGACTCTGGATGTGAGGAGAAGAAAATGTCAAAACCATTCAGCAACACAATTCATATTTCCGCCTTCCCTGCCCCTCTTTCTCTCGTCAACGGATGCACATTTGTTTTGTGCATTAGCAATTTCAAGCCGCTAAGCAGGCAGAGTAACTGTGTGTGAAAAAACAACTCCATTTCACTAGTCGTGCGCTACTTTCCATAAATCAACACGCACACACCCACTCAACTCAACAGCAAGGAGCAGTGAAACAGAACGGTTGAAATATTTATTAAGAAAAATTTTCCTTTCTAGTTTCCATATGAACTAGTAGGCACCACCTGCCAGACGCGAATTTGGTGGTCGGTGTAGCCGGCGAAGAGCGTGGAACCATCCGAAGACCAGGCGAGGGAGGTGCACTGCGGAGCCTTGCCCTTGCTGGCCACAATCTCCGGCTTCAGCTCATCAACCAGGTTCTTGTTCTCCAGGTCCCAGATCTTGATGGTGGGGCCGGTGGCAACGCAGAGCCAGTACTTGTTTGGCGAGAAGCAGAGCGCGTTGATGATGTCGTTGTGGTCAAGGGTGTACAGGTGCTTGCCCTCGGTCAGATCCCAGAGCATGGCCTTAAAGTCCTTGCCACCAGAGGCGCACAGAGAGCCGTCAGGGGACACGGTGACGGTGTTCAGGTAGCCAGTGTGACCAATGTGGTTGGTCTTCAGCTTGCAGTTGGCAAGGTTCCACACCTGAAATGTACACAAAAGCAGCATTAGCACCACACATAGCATGTAAAGAGCACCCAAGTAAACGTACCTTGACCATTCGGTCCCAGCCGGCACTGACGATGATGGGATTGTTGTTGGAGGGCGAGAATCGCACGCAGGAGACCCAGTCAGTGTGGGCGTTGGGCTCGTGGATGGAGTACTTGCACTGAGCCAGAGTGTTCCACAGCTTGATGGACTTGTCGCGCGAGCCAGAGACAATCTGTCGGTTATCGGGCGAGAAAGCCACCGACAGAACATCGTTGGTGTGTCCCTCGAAGCGGCGAGTGGTTTTGCACACGTTCAGATCCCATAGGCGCAGGGTCTTGTCCCATGAGCCGGAGAGGGCGTAGTGGCCGTCCTGGGAGAGCACAACGTCGGTGATGAAGTGACCGTGGCCGCGGAGGCGCTTGAAGGGATACCCGTAGTTGGTATCGTCATGGTTCAGCTTCCACACGATCAGAGTCTTGTCTCGGGAAGACGAGAGAATAGTGTCGGGGAACTGGCGGTTGGTGGCGATCTGGGTGACCCAGTCAGAGTGTCCAATCAGGGTTCCCTTCAGAACCAGCTCTTCAGATTGACCCATAGCCATTTTGGGAAGGTGTTTACTTCGGTCTGAGCGTCTCGGGCGGCAAGCAGATCCAGAAACGTGTTGGGCGACAAGTTGCCGAGCTGAAGCTTGCAGGAAAAGAAAGACTGACCGGAGCGCCACTGTTCACAATATCCGCCGCACATGCACGCTGCGTACGCTCTCTATGAAGGGCAGACGCCTAGCCAGTTCCCCAATCAGGCGTCAATTTAGGCCCCTAGCATCCCCAGGTAAGCTTGCACTGCACCATAAACTGACCGTCTACTATTCATGTTCCATTTGACCAGACAGGAACTGATAATTATCAGATTCTGAAACCGTTTCAGAAAATCTGTTTGTGGATTCTATTTCGACAGCAACGGCTCGATGTTTTCTTAGTGGTGCGAAATGGACTCGCTGAGTTTTTGGGCCAAAAAAAATTTGGCGAGACCTGCTTTCAATCTTACATGTTGTTTTTCTCTTCCCAAGCTTGTAGTAACTTTNGTCAGCCTGGCTCTGTCGCTCAGCTATTTCTCAAAAACAAAAAGCGCCATCTGCCTGCTAGATTTAACTTGCCTAACTCGCTGTGGAGTTTGCGTAAAGCACAAAGCAAAAAAATAAAATTCAAAGGAATTCAAATAAAACTCAGGTAGAAAAGCAAAAAGTCAGAAGTTTTCCG